TGCTCTCATGTGGGGCCACCAAAAAGTGGGAAGTCATTTCTATGGCTATGGGAAGTCATTTCTATGGAGTTCATCACGGATCTACCCTCCCAGCAAGGGGGAAACCATGATTTGGGTGATTGTTGACCTGTTTTTGAAACAGGTGCATTTTGTCCCATTTAAGTCGCTACCAACGGCCCGCCTCCTGGCTAAGGCATTCCCCCAGCACATCTTCTGCCTTCATACTTTGCCATGGAAGATAATCTCTGACCACAGAGCCCAATTTGTTTCTAAGTTTCGGGGGGAACTAATGAAACTGTTGGGGGTGGAACGTGGGCTGAGCAGCGCTTACCACCCCGAGACTGATGGGCAAATGGAATGTGTCAATCAGACCCTCGAACAATACCTCCGGTGTTTCACCAACTTCCAACAGGATGACTGGGAGAGGCTCCTTTCCCCTGGCTATAATAATGCCTGTCATTCATCCACTGGGGTGTCTCCTTTCATAGCAGTATATGGGTATGAGGCTCCACCTCTCCTGTTCATTTCTGCCAACCCACTCCCGGAGAGGGAAGTGGGGGAATGCTGTAAACATCTCAAAGACACCTGGCCAGTACTGTGCAAAACTTTGGACGCTGCTAAACAAGCCTACAAGGCTCAGGCAGACAAGAAGCGGGCAGATACCTGGGAGGTCCAGCCAGGGGACAATAGGTGTCTACCAAAAACATTAAAGGACTACGACCCAGTCGTAAACTGGGGTGGAAATATGTGGGGCCATTTAAGGTTACACGTAAGTTCAATGAGATGGCTGTGGAACTTGACTTGCCTAAAAACCTAAGACATTTGCATTCCATTTTCCATTTCAACCTTCTCTGCCTGGGCCAAATGTGTGGTGGCCACAACAACCCTGCCCCCCTCCCCTAATAGTGCAAGGCGAACCGCATCACAAAGTTGCTGATATTCTGGACTCTAAGCTGAAGCACAACAAACTGTTCTATTTGATTGAATGGGTGGATTTTGGTCCTCAACACAGAGAATGGGTGGCGGAAAAGCATGTCTCCACCCCCCGCCTTCTTAAACGCTTCCACTGGCGCTTTCCGTAGAAACCTGGGAGGAGACATTGGGAGGGGCAGGATGTCAGGTAGCCTTGTCATAGATCTGGAATGTGGAGGGGTGCATCTCCTCCTCGTTCTCAGCTCTTCCCTGTCCAGCTTCTGTGCGCTATCTCTTGCTTGACCTTGGTATTGTTCCCAGCTGCAAATAACTCGGCTGGGAAAGCTAACGGTTTTTGCGCTTGGCCTGCTTACCGCTTGCTTCAGCCCCCGCGTGCGAATTATAGTCATTATACTGTAGACTATTCCTGACACAAGCTGTATACGTGTACTTTAGTACTGGGATCATCAATAAACACTTATCTTCTTATGAAGCCCAGTGTGGTGTGCCCTGACTAAGGACCCTTACAACCAGGAGCTGATTGTAGTACATACCATGAATTATTTATATCAAAATTTATAATAAAACTGCAGGAAAAACCCAAAACATTCATAATGCCAAAATACAATCTAAGCAGCATTTCTGAAGAGTTTTAAAAACTACGTAAAGAACTGATTTGCATTATTAAGTTCAAGTGAATGTAAACCAGAAGAACTATGGGTTACAACCAGAGATATTATCAATGAAGAATGCACAAGGACTATTCCTGTAGCCAAAAGAACCGAAAAGTCTCGATGGATTAATGATGAAACTCTTAAAATTGCTAAAGACAGAGAAGAAAGCTGACAGAAAGAATGTAGATTCCTTTGAAATGTGGTGTTGGGAGGAGCCTTTTTTGGATACTGTGCTGCTCCCAGTCAGCGTTAACTGTAGTTTAGTAAAACTGCTCTGTATCTTTAAGACTTGTTGCACCTGGGAATTGGAGTCCACAGTTAGGGGTCCCAGAAGCTTCCCTCTGACTGGCTCATTGAGAGTACTTTTCTGAGCTCAGAGGCACAAAGATAGGAGTTTTTATTGTTCTTTTCTGGTTTCTTTGTCCATCAACCCTTACGGCAAGGAGAGGTGAAGCCCATCTCTTTCTCACCACGGCTATTGAACTAACCTAGATCACAAGATGTAACTTTCCACCCAGCTATCTGGACGATTGTGAGTAAATGATCTTCTGAATGCGTGTGAAGTTAAATAAAGATGATTTAAGCTTTCTTCAGTGGTCATGTGTTGGCTCACACCTAGAAAGCACTGGCTCAGCCACAGCTCATTCTGGACAGGACAGTGAGAAAGAGGGATGATACAGTTTCCCCACCCAGTCTCCATCCCTTAAAAGGAAAAACCTTTCCTAGGTCTGCTCTCTCCGGTAAACTAACTACAAGCTGCCAGCTGCACAGCCTCTCCAGAATGGCAAAACGCAAGCAGCTTCTCTGATTTCTGGTATCGTTGCATTCCAGAGTATTTACATGCAAATAACCTGCTTCTCCCTCTGCCATCCCTAGGTGTTGCAAATTCCCCCATGCTCACAGATGCTCCTTCATCTCAGATTCTCCTTATGTGCCCGAAACACTGGAAACAAACCTCCTAACGGGAAAAGAGCTATACGCAGCAAATCCCAAAGCAAAAGCGGGAACTAGAAATCAGCCTTGACCATAACAGGAGCTATTCAGTTAAACGGCAGTAGTAACAGGGCAAGAGGGTGGCCGAGCAACCATCAGGCAAGCTAGTAAAAGAGCTAGCTCAAGCAACAGCATCTAGTGGTAGCCAGCAAAGCAAAGGCGCAGCAGCCCCCTGGTGGCAGAATTAGAAATTGCAAGAAAAGCAATTTTGGAGCAAATCTATGTGCTCAAACAAACTGACGTCAATGCAGCAATGTTGATATGATAGCGCCACCCAGTGGGTGGAATCCAGTATTGCAAATCTGAACAAAATTAAGGACTTATTTTTTTTACTTAAAAATCATGGGAGATCCCACCGGCAGCATAGCGAATGGGAGCGTCTTTAAAGACATTTCCAATCAAACTGTGCCCTCCTCAAGCAGCGCCCCAACAGGAAGCCGACATTCAAAAACACTCTCAGCTCATGGAAGGTCATCTCGCCATACTTCCAGCAGTGTCTGATCCTCCAAAAGATCTTCCAGTTCTTCTGTAGTGGCCTTAGAAGTGGCCTTAGAAGTGGCAAAGTTGAAAGGTGAAGCGGCAGTCGCTGCAAAACGAGCTGAATTTGCTAAGAAGAAAGAATGCTTAGAACTGGCTGCTGCCCAGCTCTACACAGAGAAGGAACTGGCTGCTGCCCAGATCCGCGCAGAGAAGGAACTAGCAGCCACCATGCTCCAAGTGGAGAAGGAAGCACTACAAAGAGCAGACGAGGCAGCTGAGACAGCGGCTCAGGTAAAGGCAGTTGAGGATGAGCTTCGGGATCCAGATCCAGACCCCACTCTTGCAGAGTTGGAGGTGCAAGACACTGCCCAAAGAGTTCTGTCCTATGTAGTGGAACATAGTGCCATCACACACAACTTCCAATCAGAGCCAACACCTTCAGCAATCCAGCCAGCTGCGCCAGTACACACGCCAGTGACCTCCACAGCTTATGCTCCTGTATCAGTCCCATTGACAGATGTGCTGATGGCACCACCGATGCCCATCACCATGACAGCAGGATCAATGTCTGCGTTACCTGAGGTTCATCTTCCTTCTGCAGTGTCAGGCCATACGCCTGCAGCCTTTCTTATGTCATCCACAAATCCTATGTCGACCCTTGCTCCAAGTGCAAAGTGATCCACATTGGGGCCAAAAATTGTAACTATAAATACACATTGATGGGATCCAAACTGGCAGAGACTGACCAAGAGAGAGATCTTGGAGTCGTAGTAGATAACTCACTGAAAATGTTGAGACAGTGTGAGACTGCAATAAAAAAGGCCAACACTATACTGGGGATTATTAGGAAGGGAACTGAAAACAAATCAGCCAGTATCATAATGCCTCTGTAAAAATTGATGGTGCGACTTCATTTGGAATACTTTCTGCAATTCTGGTCACCACACCGCAGAAAGGATATTATAGCGTTGGGAAAAGTGTAGAAAAGGGCAACTAGAATGATAAAAGTGTTGGAAGACTTTCCCTATGAAGAAAGGTTAAAGCGCCTGGGACTCTTTAGCTTGGAGAAATGATGACTGAGGGGTTGACATGATCAAGGTTTACAAGATTATGCATGGGATAGAGCAGGTAAAGAAAGAAGTACTTTTCTCCCTTTCTCACAATACAAGAACTCGTGGGCACTCAATGACATTGCTGAGCAGTCGGGTTAGAACGGATAAAAGGAAGTACTTTTTCACCCAAAGAGTGATTAACACATGGAATTCACTGCCACGGGAGGTGGTGGCAGCTACAAACATGGACAGCTTCAAGAGGGAATTGGGTAAACATATGGAGCAGAGGTCCATCAGTGGCTATTAGCCACAAGGAACTCTCGGTCTGGGTAAAGTGATGCTCTGTATTCTTGATGCTGGGGGGGGGGCAACAGTGAGAGGGCTTCTAGTGTCCTGGCCCCACTGGTGGAACTCCTGATGGCACTTGGTATTTTTGGCCACTGTGTAACATAGTGTTGGACTGGATGACCCATTGGCCTGATCCAACATTGCCTTCTCTTATGTTCTTATGTTCTAGACTTCACCTGTGCTTATTCGGATATGCTGGGATTCATGTATATGTCCACTGTGTGGAACCAAATCCCTCGCTAGTATAAACCAATGAATGAACAGATCCTGATGGAAATGACACATGACTGAATATAATGGGGGGAATCAAAATACCACTAATAGGACAATTCCAAACAGCATTATACTTTTCTAAGCCCATTGACTTCAGCAGACTCCAAAGGATGCAACTCTGTTTAGGATTGCATTGTGTACAGACATAACGCACACCACTTTCAGTGGCTTTCCCATGCCAGTTTTTGCCAGCATTTGAAATCTGGCCTGGATTTCATAATTTCTTGGCTGCTCTCCCTCCCCTTTCCACTTCATCAGCCCATCTTACGTTATATTGGTTGGGCGCTGGAGTAGCTGCTTTGGGTATTTTTCTAGCAATTGGTTGTTGAAACATGCTGGAATATCCCAAGCTAAAATCTTGCTTGGACTGGAGAGTAGGTGGGAGGCTGTAGGCATTTGCAGCAGGATAGCTGGGGACTCTGTGTCGAGCAACACGTACATCCTGGGGAGAAGAAAACAAAAATTGGGTTTGTTTATACTGTTTTCTATCTTAAGAAAATGCCCAGGCTAGCCTGATCTCATCAGATTTTGGAAGCGAAGCAAGATTATCCCTGGTTAGTATTTGGATGGGAGACCAATAGGGAAGCCTAGGATTGCTATGCAGAGTCATAGAATCATAGAGTTGGAAGGGACCTCCAGGGTCATCTAGTTCAACCCCCTGCATAATGCAGGAAATTCACAAATACCTCCACCTCCACACACCCAGTGACTGCTGTTCCATGCCCAGAAGATGACAAAAAACCTCCAGGATCCCTGGCTAAACTGGCTGGGAGAAAAATTGCTTCCTGACCTCAAAGTGGCAATCAGCATTTCCCTGGCCGTGTAAGAAAGGGCCACAAGAACTAAGCACTGAGGCAACCCTTCCTGCCCTCCTTCTCATGAACTGCCAGTCAGGCAATGGCAAACTACGTCTCTTCGTCTCTTGCTCTGAAAACACTATGTGGTCACCATTAGTCGTTGTCACGCTGTGAGTTGTCCCCCGCAGAGACTCCACGTTCCGCCATGACACTGAGGCTCCAAAAGGGGCAGCTGGGGTCTCAGCAAGCAGGTGAGGGCCCTTAGCCAGTCAGCAGCAGGCATCCTATGGAGTCTGACTTCCCTCTCTCTAGACCCTTTATTAACATCTTCCTCCCCACAGCCGAACATGGCTATCATAGTAAATAATGTTACTAACATGGGTGAAATTGAGGGCATGGAAGAGAGCTTATTAGCCTCCTTTGGTGCCCTCCCACTCAGAGATCAGGACATCATGATTCAGAGATTACAAAAGTTGACTACTACTCTGTATGACATTAAAACACAAGCTGACCATAAACCAGATGAACAGTTCTGCTCAGTTGAGATGCCTCTAAACAGGCTCTCATGGAATGAGAAACCAGCTCTGCCCTTGAGTCCTTTTGGTCACAGGTTTCTGGAGGGTTCATCTGGGGAATCAACTTCTAAAGAAAAAAAGGACTGACTAAGAATATTATCCTGGAACATGACTGGGTGGGCTGCTAGGATGAGGACAAGTGATGTTAAAGAATTCCTGAGCAAATTTGACCTAATACTACTGCAGGAAACATGGGTAAAGAGTAAAGTTTATCTCTGTGGCTTCACCCCATACTTTTTACCTGTGGCTGATACTGGGAAAAGTGGAATGTCTCTGCAGGGTTGATCTATCTGATCTCAGTAATCCTCAAAGTCAGGGTTACTGAGTTACCTAATTGTCCTCCTTACACGATGGCATTATTGCTGGAGTTTATGGGTTTTCTATAATTCTGGTGAACATCTGTCTCCCACCAGGATTCATCCTACAACCACAATACTTATGGCTGGAGATTTTAATGCTAGAGTTGGGGAGACAAATGAGGACCTTTTTTTGAAAAGCTATAAAACTCAGATTAAGAACTTTCCAACTATGAGTTACAGAAGATCTAAAGACAAGAAAATTAATGGATCAGGCAGACATTCTGCATCATTACTAAAGAATGATCTGTTAATATTAAATGGATGCAAACAGTTTGATGGAAAAGGAGATTTTACTTGTATAAATCATTTAGGGCAAATGTAGTAGACTATTTTGTTGCTTCTACTGACTTAGAAGAGTGGAATCCCTGGAAGTGAAGGATTATTTGGAAATTGATCATTATCCTGTACAATTATTATTACATCTAGATGCTTACCGTCTCTCATCTAAGGTAAAGAACTAGCACTAAACCAGACACATACCACCTTAAGATCACTGAGGTGGTGTGAAGCCACGGAAGCAAAAGTGAAAACACAAATGGACTTGATAAAAACCAGATATTTTGTTGTTGTTCAGTCGCACAGTCGAGTCTGACTCTTCGCGACCCCATGGACCAGGTCCCGCCAGGCCCTCCTGTCTTCTGCCGTCCTCTGAAGTTGGCTCAATTTCATGTTCGTTGCATCGATGACACTGTCTAACCATCTCATCCTTTGCCGTCCCCGTCTTCTTTGACCTTCAATCTTTCCCAGCATCAGGGTCTTCTCCAGTGAGTGCTCCCTTCTCATTTGCTGGCCAAAGTATTTGAGCTTCAGTTTCATTATCTGGCCTTCCAGGGAACAGTCAGGGTTGATTTCTTTGAGGATTGACTGATTTGATCTTCTTGCAGTCCAAGGGACTCTCAAGAGTCTCCTCCAGCACCATAGTTCAAAAGAATCTATTCTTCGGCGCTCAGCCTTCCTTATAGTCCAACGCTCGCAGCCATACATGACTACTGGGAATACCATTGCTTTGACCATGCGGACTTTTGTTGGCAGGGTGATGTCTCTACTTTTTATCATGCTGTTTAGGTTCGCCATCGCTTTCCTCCCAAGGAGCAGGCGTCTTTTAATTTCATGACTGCTGTCACAGTCTGCGGTGATCTGGGATCCCAGGAACGTGAAGTCTGTCACTACTCGGCTCGGCATCCATTTATCGGCGGCTAGATCGATACAGTCCTTTCTCTGACTGTAAGGCACTCAAAAGATCAATCAGGTGCCTATGTAGACAGTTTAAGAACTCAAATAGTGTAGAGATTTTGCTGAATATTTTGACATTGAAAAAAGAATATTACAAACTATTGAAATTTAAGAAATCTGAGGCCCAGAAAAGAGATTGGGAAAGTCTGCTCTGGGCCATAAAAACAAAAAATGAAAAATACGTGGTGTCATCCACATACTGTTGACATTCCAGCCCATGCCTCCGGGCGATCTGGGCAAGGGGTGCATATAGATGTTAGAGCATTGGGGACAACACAGCCCCTTGAGGCACTCCACACTCTAGTGGGTGCCTCTGGGATAGTTGATCCCCTAGTGCCACTCTTTGTTCCCAGCCTTGGAGAAAGGAGACAAGCCACTGCATGGCCAGTCCCTGAATTCCAGTGTCGGCAAGCCAGTGGATCAGTAGCTGATGGTCAACCATGTTGAACGCTGCCGACAGGTCTAACAACAGCAGCACTGCCTCGTTCTACCCCGTTCCAAGACATTGAAGGCAAAGAGAAGAAGGTGGCTCTCCTGCTCAGTTCCTGTGGGATCGCAACCTTGAGGCTAGTCCAGGGCCTCATCGTGCCCACCACGCACGAGGCGGCCACTCATGATGCACTCATCAAGGTGCTCACTGACCATTTCGCACCTCGGCCAACCAAGATGGCGTGCTGCATGGACTTCTACATGTGCCAGCAAAAGTCCAATGAGACAGCTGCTGACTTCGTGGCAGACCTTCACAGATTGGCCCTCACATGCGAGTTCCTGAGCCTCGATGACGCCCTCCTCGACTGGTTTGTGATGGGCATCCAAGAGGAGAAACTCTGCTAAAAGCTCATCGGCCATGAAGAACTCACCCTTGCAAAGGCACTACGCGAGACCACCACTTTCAAGAAATCCCGGAAAGACTGCCAGTCCTCCACCACGCACCAGGCCTACGTTCCCTCGGCTTCTGAGGTATCAGATGAAGAAGAGACCCATCAGATTCACCACCCAGCTCGCCACAACTCGCAACCTTCTGCCTCCGCCACTAGCCCAGTGGAAACACTCGCCCCGACTGCCTGCGCCAGCTGCGAAGAAGCCCACGAACGTCACTCCTGCCATTTCCAAGATGCGACATGCAGGACCTGTGGCAAGACAGGCCACATCACTTGCACCAGCCGCTCCAAGGGAGCCCGGAGACACACAGCCACGCACCAGGAATCCGCAGATCTGCATACTACCGCCATCCACCAACATAAGGTACTGAATTTGCCCCAGGACACCCCTGATAAAATTAAAGTGACTGTGTTAATAGAAGGGGTACCTTGCAAGATGGAACTGGACACGGGGTCATCCATCTCCATCTCGGAAGAGACTCTCCGGAGGCTCTGTCCACAGGGGGGTCCCCGCTTTAGACCCACCGGGTTCACCCTCGGGGACTTTCAAAAGAACAAGGTGGGGCAAATTCCATGTCATGCAAATTAAGGGGTGGGGCAAATTCCATGTGAAATACAGACAGTTTGAGGGAATGTTGGACTAGTTGGTGGTGGAAGGACGGCTCACTAACTTACTTGGACTGTCTTGGTTTATGCCCTCAGACTTCAGTAATGTGTGTGACAAGTCCCCTACCATATATATATTCTCATATGAATATATATATTCATAACATAATCAGTACGATTTGGTTACAATAAATTTTTTCGAGTCTATTCATCACGCTTATTTTCTATTCATTTATAAACTCTTATCCATCGTTTAAGTATCATTCTTCATCTTTTCCTAATAAAACAACATTTAATCTGCCCATTTCCACTAGTTCCAACAATCTTTGAACTATCTCCTCTCTTGAAGTTTTCTCTGTTTCCCAACATTTAGCCAGTAAGATTCTAGCTGACATTAAAATATAAGTCACCATATACAAATAATTTTGTTTATAACCATCTGGGATCGTGTTTAATAAGGAAATTTCTGGTGTTAAGGCTAAATTAACATGCAGTATTTCTTGTATAATCTTATGTATTTTAAGCCAAAATTTTTGGATTTTCTCGCATCTCCACCACATATGGTAAAATGTTCCTACATTGGCTTTACATTTCCAACACTTATTGTTAACAGTTGAATAACATTTGGCTATTTTATCAGGGGACCAGTGCAATCTGTGAAACATTTTATAAATATTATTTGTATGTTATTGCTCTCATAAATTTTGTTACCTTCCATATTTTATGTGTGTTCTGTTGATATAAGTTTTTATAGAAAGTTTCTACAATATTCTTCCGTTCTTGTAGGCTATGTTTTTCTTCACCCTTTTCATTTCTTAAAACTTTATCCGTTTTTCTCTTTCTTTCCTTAGCTTATATACAAGCCATCTTGTGGGTTTGTTTGCATTTTCAAAATAGTATTGTTTTGTGTGTTCTATATTTTTTGCTAGTTATTGAGTTAGTAACAGGTTCATTTGATGTTGTAATATTTTTAATTTGATCTTTGTTTTTT